AGTTACAAAAACATATTTTTTTGTGACAACATAAAAACGCATGTTGACAATATGTTGATTTACTGATTTTAAATTGGCACAAAATAGCGGAGATGATGAATTGAAATTAATCAGTATGGCTATGAAAATTAATTTAGGGATCAAATGAATGCATTTTTACTTTAATTGAAGGCAGGAGGCTTGGAAAAATTTTGAATGTAATATCTATTTCTTTTAAGGGCAAAAATACTTTATATCTTACATATTAATTATAAAAAGAATTACAATAAGGTCTTAAACAAAAAAATAATTACTAAAAAGTCTCAATAACAATTTAAGTAACTTGTAATGACAAGTTTTAGAGTAAAAAAATAACAACTTTTGATTTTTTTTTTGCAATTATTTTTCTTCCTTAGAACCTTGCTGTAATTCTCTCTTAATTAAGGATGATGGCATCCATAATATAATACTTAAAAAAGAAAGGGTATACTCAACTTATAAATAATTTCTTGAGAAAATTACAATAAGATCCCAAATAAAGAAAATAATTAATAAAAAGTATCAATAATCATCTAAGTAGTTTATAATAATAAGTTTTAAAGTAGAAAATAACAATTTTTAGAGTTTATTTTGTAATTTTTTTTAGACCCTATTGTAATTCTTCCAAATTTTTTTACATGAAACTGAAATTCTTATATATAATTGTTATACTCAGTTAATTGGTTGATTTTACCCATTAATTTTTTTATGTAAATTTTAGGTACATTGTTGTGGTAATGAACCCAGCCTTTTTTTTCTTTGTGGATGGTTATCTAATTAAAACAAATTTAAGTATTGTTGAGTCTACTTAAAGATAACTCACACAGATCTGAACTCCTCTTCTAATGGAACCAACACTTGTTGGTGGCCCATTCCTTTTCTCAACTCTACCTAAGGAGCCTGAACCCCTTCTACAGTTCTAATAGAACCGATGCTCTATTAGGGTCTGTTTAGTATGAGGAAAATAGAGGGAAGGGGAGGAGAGGAAAAATTTTAATGAGTTCATTTTAAAAAATTTAAAAAGTGGGGTTGTAAAATTTTGATAAAAAGAAAATATAAGATAAAAGAGTAATTAAAATTAATCAAAAAATTTTAACCCCACTTCTTCAATTATTTAAAACAAGCTCATTAAAATTTTTCCTCCCTTCCCCTTCCCTCCATTTGTCTCATACCAAACAGACCCTTAGTAACTCATTTTTTTCCGTTGACCCTTTAACTTGAATGGAGGGGGAAATTGACAAATTTCTTCTGCATTGAGATACTATTAAGTATTAAATATAGGTATTTTTCCTATAAAAATTCTAAGTTTGATTTGCAAAATTGTTGGGGTTATTGACTATTGTTGTGAGCACCCATTCCTCTGTCTTGACTTTTTTTTTGACTACTTCAAATTCATATCTTAGCATATATGCACTAAGATTTTTTTTTTTTTGGGTTCTTTTAACTTGAACAATATGCGACTTTGTTTGATAGTTGATAGTACACACTAAAATTCTAACATGTGTTACGCCCTATCTTTAAGAAAAGAGTGGGATAATTAAATTAAAGGCCTAATCAGATCATTAATTAATTATTTTTTTTTGCTTTAGGAATCAATTAAAATTAATTTTTGTGTCCTACGTACCGACCCTTGTCTGTGTATGGTTCTTTAGTCAGCATAGTCATGATGGTCAATGCTGAGGATTCCCCTTACGTGGCATTCTGTGCTCCCCAATCTGTTGGCATACGTGGCATTTTGATTCTGTCTTATTATATAAAAATCTTTAACAATCATGACCAATTAAATTTTTTTAAAAACAAAATCTGATAAAAAGAATACAAAGAATTACGTATAATTTTTATATCAATATGTTCAATTATACGTTTACTGATGATTGCTTTGATTTTTCTTACTAATTTCTAGAATATTTTTAATGTATAAATAAAGGAGAGATTGATGTGGTATTATTTTATTATAATTATTTTATAAATAAAATGACGTAACAGGACTCTCGTCGTCACGCCGCCCCTTGAAGGGTAAATGAGATAATAGAATTGAGTGAGTGCTTAAAAGGCGATTTTGCTGTCCATAATGTGAACATAAGTGGTCCCATAATCCATAATTATTATGAGAGTTAAGGAGCTTTCACACATAATATTAATATTCATTCATAATTACTTCCTAAAGCACTGATGTTTTCCCCTCTTTGTACTTTTCATTTATTACTATTATGACAAACTATTTGACTTTCTATATATTTAACCACTAATCCAAATTTATGTGGTGTTTCTTTATGCTCTTATATTATACGTAAGTAAAGTTGAAAAAATGTTTTATTTTTGGACAAAATTAATTCACGAGTCAACTATTTCTCCTTGATTTTGATGAGATAGCTAGAGGTGACTTGTAGAGTATTTCCCTCTTATCTTTTTTATAAGATCTTTTTAATAAGATTACGTGATTTAAAAAAGTAGTTAAAATAAGTTAAAAATAATAAATATGTAAAACTTAAATTTTTTTTAAAGTATGCTCTTATTTAACAAGGGAGCAACTAGGAGAAAGAAATACTAGTAATGAAATAAGTAGTGAAAGAGAATACAATATGAGGAAAGACAATAGAAAATTAATGAGGGTAAAATTGACACAAACACATTTTAAGTTCAAACAACTTTTAATAGGATCTTATTAAAAAAGGATCAAAGCAATACAAATTTTGAGATCTTGTAAATAAAACTGAAGGAAGTAACATGTACAGGAGGGAGTAATAATTTTTTTTCCACATGAACTCAAACCTTATTTAAAAGGACATAAATTTTTTTAAAAAAAAAGCTCTAACTTCAAATAAATCAACACATGTTGATGTTTCTCTCACATTATACACTTAAAATAAAGTAAGACTTTTATTGTGAATAATCTCAAGATTTTACAAGAAAAATTAATTTTAACTAACTTTATTTACATAAAATTGTTTAATAAGTGCTTTAAAAAAGAAAGGTTAATTAACAAAAAGAAAAAGATGAGAGAGTGGATGAGTTTAAGAATGTTAATTTGAATGATTAATTCTGAGAAGAATATAATGGTTTGGGTGTATAAGGGACAGAAGAGAGGATGCATGTATTTGAGCCATTTTGTGAGGGACCCCATTTGTGTTTGTCTTGATTAAAAGACTGTAAATTTGATTGTCCTCTTTATCACACACAAGATTTGAAGTTGCAGGTGTAATTGAGTGGTCTCTTAAATTGAAGACATAAATCACATCCGTGTGTTCTTGAGCAGGATGAGGGGGAAAAAATTATGATAATAATTGCTCTTGCTACTGATTTTGAAGGAAAAAAATTTCATGAATATTGTGTGTGTGTGTGTGTGTGTGTTAACTTGTTAAAATATTATACAATCTTTTATTAATGGGATTGGATCAACACTAAAAAATTAGTACTCATTATTCATTTAACATATAACAAGACTGTTAAAAATATAAATAGCTTGAACCTTTTGATAATACTTGCTCATCAACAAAATTTGAATGAGAAATTATTCTCTCTTTTTTTTCGTCTGCCTTTAACAGTTTCTCTATCAATTCAATCAAAAGATTTGAACAAGCTACAACACCTCATTTTGGATTAGAAGTGCACAATTTGTATTCTATTATCATTTTTAACTTTTTAAAAATCTAAATTATTATCTAAAAAATCAACTTCTTGGGCTAGCTTCTAAAAAACATTAATGGAAAACTTCATGTATTTTGCATCATATTTTTTTTTTGAAGTAAAATAATAAAATCTTCAAATCATGTCTAACCAATCTGATAGGGATGTCTTATATTAAGTCCAGTTGGAAAAAAAATCATTTTATTATTGGTATGGACAATGGACTATGGAATCCAGAAGTTGGGCATGGATAGAATATCCTACACTGACGGTTCAGTTTAATTGAATGGGATATATAAAGTGTAAATAATCCAACTTTTTTTTTTACTAAAACATAAGTATCTTCTTATTAGAGACAATTCTATTCAAAGAACTGTCAGGTATTAAATGTAGGCACTTCTCCCAATAGGGATGCAAACCTTAGTTCATCATATTGTGAAGGACTAACTCCTTCTGTTAGACCTAATTCCGTTGGTAATCCAACTTGCTTTAATTAAAAAGAAGGGGGGGAGGAGGGATCTGCACAATCCATCAATTATTGTGATCAAGTTTTAATGTGAATATGAAGCCAATGAGGCAGACCTTTCAACCTACAAGCCATTTGCCCATTGATGTGTGTTTACTGCACAGAGCAGGGCAGGTTTTTCAGGACCACATGAGATTGCAACTATTCTATGACACCCAATACTTCATTAACACGTGATAATGAAAGTTCTTTCTCTTTTTTATTTATTGATATTATTAATTATTTTCGTCAAATTGATTTTTCTCATTGAATGAGGAAAAGGACATACCTGCCTTAAAAGAAGCTGCAGAATGGGATTTTTCTTGTTAAGCTTGACATGGAAATAATTATTTGTCTGTGACCAAAATTTACTTGTCGTTTTGTAGATCAATTCAGCTTATGAATTTTTTTCCCCTAATGGATATTAGTATATATTAATTGGGTGATTTCTTATTGGCTACTGCATGCAGCTTGCATTAAAAAAGGAAACAGATTAGAAAGATTTCCAATGACATGTCAACGTGTTAAAATTAAACACCTCATTGCAAATCAAACATGTGGGCCTTTGTGTATCACATTAAGTGCCAAAAATAAATTATATTACTAATGATCTTATAATTTAGTGACAGGTAAGTTCTTCTTATAAGTGAGAGTTCGATCTCAGTCCTCAGACCGTTAGTGCCTGCCTTTTTAATTCGAAAATAATAATAAGTTATACTCTTTCTGCTCTTGTATATAAGCCGTTCCTAATATAGGTGAGCTAGGGAGATTACCACTCATATCTTATAAATGATACGGCTTACTATAAATACATACATACATATATATGCAGAGATAAATCTTATCCATCTTCTCATTAAAATACCAAGTCTTCTTTAGAAGTTCTCAAATAGTCCCATGACACATGGGTGAATGTTACAATATGGTACAAAATGATTTCCTTCGTTAAAAAAAAGTTTGTTGACTATTATAAAATTATTAAAAAAAAATCAGATAACAATCCCGTAAAAGCACCTAAGTTTTGTCATTTTCCAAAAGGGTCAATGGTAGTACCAAAGTAATTAATTGACAACCCAATAAAATAAGAAGGGAAAGGACAAGAGAATCACTCAAAAGTTGTCCAACAGTAGGGATTTTGAGTTGAAACAACAGTGGCAGTGCAGTGGTGGTAGTGCAGCAGCACAGCAGATATGTAAGCATCAGTCCTTCCATGTTTTCCTTGAAGCTGCCACTCACAGTTCCATTCTTTCTCATTGTTTCTTCTTCCTCTTCTATCTTACCCTACATGAATGGCCCAAGCAAAAGGTCCCTACATGGGGTTCAATCATGGGCCAGAGTCCTAATCAAGCATACATGAATGAAGACTTCACGTGCCTTATGGTCCAACACAGACCCCACCAGCTCCATTTCTTCCTCACCTCAAGAATGAATCGAGTCCAACCCTCAGAGTCCTTCTCATCCGATCTAATGGCGGGATTCGCGATGTTTACATTCTGACAACCATGGATTTCAACAGCAACAACATATACGTGTGTGTGTGTGTGTGTCAGGTAGATAGGAGGAGAAGTATGGCGTACCTGTCGTTAGAGGCTGAGGAGGAATACTGCACTGTGGGGGAAAGCATGGACTTCTTTCTAAATTGGGAAAAGGCATCGTTAAAATTGGTTACTGAGCATATGTTAGAGACACGTCTGTCCTTGATGGAAAGATGGTGTTGTGGTTGCAACTGTTTGGTAAAGTAAGAAAGATTTGTGAAATCTTTCTTTGTTGTCACTTTCCTTCTTTAACTTGGCTCCTGTATAAAATAGCCTCGCCGTCTCCTTTAAAACAAACGAACCCAAAAAGGCGAGCCAAAAGAAAATCTTATAAAAACTTTCTACCTAGTAGGCAGTCTTCATACGGATTCCCATAACTGAAGATGGTTTGACTCGGACTCAGCCACCCACACAACTTCTTTAAATTCTGGCCCAACCCTTTGAACTCTTCACTCTCCATCACCTCTTCTCTTTCTGTTTGTTCTGCCTTCCACTTTCAACTCTAAAATGAGTTTCCCAAAACTCGTCTCTTTCAGAGAACACAACAATTTATTCATCAGAGGCTTCATGATCTTGTTCCTTAGTTGTATAGCCATTAGGCTTAACTTCTGCATTTCCAGCATCATCCCTTCTTCCTTAAGAACACTTCCCCTTGAAGGACATCTAAATTTTGATGATGTCAGCCATGCAGCCCGAGACTTTGGCAACAGGTATGAACATCATCCGATGGCAGTGCTGCACCCAAAATCAGTTTCTGATATTGCAGCCACTATCAAGCATATCTGGCAGATGGGTCCCCGATCACATCTAACGATTGCAGCTAGAGGCCATGGTCACTCCCTCCAGGGCCAGGCACAAGCTCACGGGGGAGTTGTGATCAACATGGAATCTATCAAGACCCCTGAAATGCAGGTATATACTGGAAATCATCCGTATGTGGACGTCTCCGGAGGCGAGCTGTGGGTAAACATCCTGCATGAAAGCCTAAGATATGGGCTAGCACCAAAGTCATGGACAGACTACCTGCACCTGACCGTTGGAGGCACTCTGTCCAACGCTGGAATCAGTGGGCAGGCATTTCGTCATGGTCCCCAGATAAGTAATGTTCAGCAGCTGGAGATTGTAACAGGTTCGTAACTTGGTACTAAAACTAAAAATAAAATCAGGGCCAAGGAATGGAGGGGCCAAAAGAAGTATCGCAGTTTCTGTTTTGTCCCTTCTGACTAATAATTCACTTGAAACTGAAGTAATAGAATCACAAGATTCCTCGTTACACATTCGATAACATGATCTCGTTGACATAAGAGAGTCTTAAATAATAAACTGGAAATAATTTTATTTTTAAGAAAAAAGAAACATTTCCTCTTAGATGATTATAAGAGGTGAGTGAATGGTTGCAGGAAAAGGAGAGGTGTTAAACTGTTCTACGGAGCAGAATGGCGAACTCTTCCACAGTGTACTTGGAGGCCTTGGTCAGTTCGGCATAATAACACGGGCAAGAATTTCATTGGAACCAGCGCCCACCATGGTAATGCATCAGTGACTACGAAAAACAAATTCATGTGTTAATTTAAAATTTTGAAAGTATCACTAATCATCACAGGAAAGTACTATTTTGAACAGGTTAAATGGATCAGAGTTCTATATGCAGATTTCAAGGCGTTTGCGAAAGACCAAGAGCTATTAATATCTGCAGAAGACGCATTTGATTACATTGAAGGATTTGTCATAATTAATAGAACTGGTCTGCTAAACAACTGGAGATCATCCTTCAACCCACACGACCCAGTTCAAGCCAGTAAGTTCAAATCAGATGGAAGAACTCTCTTCTGCCTAGAATTAGCCAAATACTTCGACCCAGACGACAATGATGAGGCAAATCAGGTAAGGCAAGCAATAGTCCACCTTGCATAAAACATATATGAACAAGCATAGTTATTGAATATTTCTTCTTGTTGGAAAAACAAATCTAGATACACTGTCCCTTACTATTTATCTCATTGTTTTATCTTTTTTGTGCAGGACGTCGAGAAGCATTTGTTCCACTTGAACTATATCCCATCAACACTTTTTCTAACAGAAGTCACATATGTAGATTTCTTAGACAGAGTTCACGTCTCTGAGGTCAAATTGCGGTCAAAAGGCTTGTGGGATGTTCCACACCCATGGCTCAATCTTTTTATACCCAGAAGCCAAATACACAACTTTGCAGAAGTTGTCTTTGGAAATATTCTGACAGAAACAAGCAATGGCCCGGTCCTCATCTACCCAGTAAATACATCAAAGTAAATGTTTCATAATACAGGTTATCTATGCCCATCTTTTAGCTTTAACATGGTATTAACATTTGACGTTGCTTACAGGTGGGACAATAGAACTTCCGTCGTCATTCCAGAGGAAGATATTTTCTACCTGGTAGCTTTTCTCACCTCTGCAGTCCCCTCTTCCAGTGGAACTGACGGCCTAGAACACGTTTTAAATCAGAATAAAAGAATTTTAGAATACTGTGAAAAAACCCTCACTGGGGTAAAACAATATCTTCCCCACTACACTACACAAGAAGAATGGAGGGACCACTTTGGTCCCAAGTGGGAGCTTTTTCTGAAGAGAAAATCTGTTTTTGACCCATTGGCAATACTTGCTCCTGGCCAGCGAATATTTCAGAAAGCAACAGCATTCTCATGACGACAGCCACATTTTATTAAATATGATAAAGAAGAGGCCCTTATACCATATTCGAAATATGTCATTAGCTAAGAGTTAAAGGTCTGGTCAATATTTGGTCAACAGAAGGGATCAAATATTTCAGACATGAATTATTAGATTGCCAAAGCATCCATAGACATTATCATCACTAGACTGAATGTAAATATTAAGTTTGTATACATATCTGCCCTTGTATATTATTCAATGGAGTAAGTTAAGAGCAAGAAACAGAACCCAATATGTATATGGGAATATCTACATCAATCAGGTAAAAAAAATCTATCTTATAACACGTCAGCAGATAACAGAGATAATTAACGTACTATAAAATTATACAACTCTCCATTAAAATGGTGAAATGATATCAGTCTATTTACCTACTGCAATTCATAACCGCCTTATAGTGACAATGCATTAGAACAATATAACAATAATACCTGTCAACTTATCACTGGGACAAATGTGGCAAAAGTGGCTTACACAAAAGTTGCAGAAAATTCAAAAAAAGAAATTGGGGAACTTTGACAACTGTAGCACGGATGAAATAATAGAACCATAATTTACTTTCCAACAGAAAGTAACCAAATAAAATGGGATAATAGTAACAAATCTTTCTTGTTTTCTACCTTTATTATATCCATAATATATTTTTTTCCAGAACAAGAACATTGAAGACAAATTTTTCACGCTGCACACAGCTCAGCAACTGCAAGTCTTTTTTCAATTTTAGTTTCGCTAATCTTCTCACATACTTTTTATCTTTTTATGCAACATCTTTATGTTACTAAGTTCATAGATATAACTTTGTAAAAGGTAAGAATGGTTTAGAGCAGTTATAAAAACTTCTAAGTTTGGATATGCATGTTTATTTGATAGAATAATGTGATCCATATAGCCACTCCAGTAGGTGGGATAAATCTTGTTGCTACTGCTGTTGTTATTGGGAAATTTATGTTTATGCTTTATATTTATAATAATTTTAGAAAGTAAAAAAATACAAACACATTGACTAGCTATAATCTGACTTTCTGATTTTCATGGTGAGAAGAGAAGACTTGAGAGAAAGTTTCCAAAGTCATATTAACAAAGATACATTGGAAGACGTGGAAAATTGTATATGGTTTTTCAAGTAAAATAAAGGGGCAAAAGTTTCAACTGCCAATAGCTCATTTACTTTCTCAATTTTAGGTTAACTATCAAGCTGTTCACGTTCATGCCGTAGAAGTCCAGGGAAATATTTTACTTTCAGTGGGGTATATCTTATCCTTCTTTTGTTATTACTTTATATTTGGACAGTATCACCATTCACACAAAAAACATCAACACCCAAAGGAAACTGAAAGAGCAGCAATATGCTACTGTCCAAGAGATTCCAGCTTTTGCAATAGAAATAGAGGGGGAGAAGGTGTTACAGTAGCTTCTAGACCATTTCCATCAATCAGTGCCATACATATCACTTAATGAATATGGCAACACACACATGACCACATTTGCTACTCTATCACACTTTGATTCTGAAGACTCGCTTCCAGATTCTGCTCAAAATACCTCTCAACAAGCACATAGTAAAGTACAGCACCAACTTTCACATGGGGTGAGACCAGAATGCATCCCTTCAGATGATTCCTTCTGATTTGAAATCACTCGACAAACATTACAGATAGGTGGCTGTCATACTAAAAAGGGGACTACGATAGATAAGATATGCAAGTAGATTATGTTGAAATTAAATAAAACACATATAATTTATGGAAGTTATGAAGTTCTATCATCTCTCACTTGTCTACTCCAATGAAGTTATATGAAAACACAAGTGGTTTTTATCCGTTGAGTGGCATTATCTCATCTACAAGAATACTAAATTTGTAGCTTCTTTTAAAGAAAAAAAAAATGCAAGAAGATAAATTTACATAATATAGCAAATGGTTTCTTGCATCATGATATTGCTAATTATTGCGTTTCTTTGCTGATGGCATTACCAACAGCTACTGGAGGATCAGGACATAGAACCACCGGGGCCCATCTCCTGTCCAAGGCAACTAAAATCAAATACAAATGAGCGCCAGATTGACTAGGACAACATTGATGAATTATTCACAACTAGAATCTAACGCACAAAAGCACTCTATATTCTGATGGTCAAAGAGCAAAGATTACCACAATGAAGCCCTAAAAAGAGTTCCGTTGTATGTAGATTCCCGTGATGCATAGATAGGAATATCATTGTTCAGATGTTAACAAAGTGTGCAGTGAGTAGCATGGTGAAATTTTATGCCATAAAAATAATAATAATAACGCTCAAAGGGATGAAAAGAAACAATAGCTCACCCTCAACTTTCAACACAAAGTACCCAAAAAAAAAAAGGGAAAAAACAATCTTATAAATTTTTTGGAAAGCAGAGACACTAATGGCAGCATAAAACAAAAACAATGACCAGATTCAAAGAACCATCTACGTCCCCAAGAAACATTCAAGAACTATTCCACTTTTTTTTTTTGGGGGGGGGGGGGGAACATCTCATGAGAGGTTAATGATCACTATTGTATCATTTCAAATTGATACTATTTATAGATGACTTATGCCAGGTAATATCATAGACAACAATAATTGAAGTGCAGAAAAAGTCTACAAAAAACAACTGTTGCGATTGACTTACAATTTTTTGATAATGCATTGAGGCTCAGACAATTTTTTACTAACAATTAACTGTCAACGAAGAATCTTCTCAAATAGTGACTGAAATTCTATATATTTTAAAGATATGCAAAGGCTTGATGAGGTTTTGCAAGTTACGTGTTGGCACAAGATTATCCAGCAAGTGCAATGAGACACACAAGCAAATACCATTGTATAAGCAACTGAAATATTTATTTGCATATCATTAAGACAATAACATAAAAATCTGCTGGGGTTAGGCAAAGTCAAATATGCTTTAAGCAGCCCAAGATGGTAGAGAAACAAGAGGAGAGTGATAACAACAATCTTAAAGAAATAGCACCCATATATTGCACAAGCCGGTTGGTGTTAAAGGTCTTCAACAGCAAATGATTGACTATTAAGATCTTATAAAATTTAGTTTATGATTCTTTACCAGGAACTGATCTTATAATTTGTGCTTACCACATGCAATAGTTATGCATGTTATTATCACTGTCAAGGATCACATCAACTCAAAAGCGTAAATTTTTTTAAAGTTAAGGCTCATAAAAAATTGTATCATGATTATATAAAACACATGCCGTTCATACAAAAGCGATTTTTGCTTAAAGTGTGGACAAAGCACAGACCCACTATACCTTGTACAAAAACTTACTTAGATCTAAAAGAATGGAGGGTGGCAGGAATTAGACCCATAATCACAAGTTCATATGAATTTTGATACTATACTATGTTAAGGATCATTCAACTAAGCTTAAAATTTTAAGTGAAACCCCATGAATAGTATTATTATATTTTCTAACAATTAAAAATTATTTATTATTATTTTATGACAAAATAGACTATATGTTAATCCTGCTAACAAATTCCAATCATATTCGCACAGAACTGAGGTTTTAAGTTGTAAGCTTGTCAAGTGTGCTGTATTGCAGTGCTACCAGTTTCAAGAAATTATCTGAACAAAGCATGAATTTTCCAGAACCTATATGTTGTTGATGCATTCGAGACTGTATGTTCCGTTATCCCTATACTGACAAATACACTTTGAACTAGAGTGGAGAGCAAATTACTGGAGTGGTGCAATAGTTACCTACTAAAATTGACTTTGACTTGTTACATTAGAGTAGCATTCAACCTTGAACCCTTAAACTTTAAAAGTAAACCTTTCTACTGGGTTTTGATAATTCTAGAAGTCAACAAAGCCGTGGAATGACCTCGCCAAATTTCTCTTCAGTAAATATTATTGGTCAGTTGGCTGATATCATTCACTGAAAGATTAAGCTTATTAGCGGCATATGCAAATTAAGGGGTAACATAGATTACTCCAGACTATAAAAGCTTTTGCAATGAAGAACACATTATTTAAGGTACTAGCCAGAAAGCTGTGTAGAACATAACTGGTAATTATCTGATTAAATATAAGTAAATATGAAAGCAAGAAGAATAAGTATGGTTTCATGATATGGGTTTGAATAGAACCCCTAAAGCAGAACCAACATTGCATGCAGATTCTTCTAGTAAAAGATGATGATGATAATGATGGTTAATTAGATAAATAAATAAATAAATTTTGACTATGGACATACAATTTGCATCTATCAGTAAATGTATGCGTCAGATCAGTCTATTTTGATACACTTTTACACACGATACATAAAGCCTTCCATCAGCTAAGATATACAAAGCAATAGGTAATAGGAGGCAGATAAAGGATTCCAAATATAAATAAAAAGATACTACTTTGCTTCTAATAACATCATGGATATGAATTCCAAGTATAAACAAACAACTTACAAAGGGCAAAAAGGAAACGTTTTTCTTCATGCAACATGACACTATTAGGAACCATTATTTGATCCCAAAGAATGATAGTTGAGTGAAAAGCACAGGCCAATTTTCAGTTCACAAACCCCATGCCGTTATAACCAATAGTCTAACTCCATCTTTGATGCGAATGTCTCTTAAATAAGTCGTCAATTTGATTTCGTTACTAAGTTGTTTTTATTTCGTCAGGTTCCAATTTTAGAGTTTGAATGGGCTTTTGAGCTTAGAAATTGCTTAGCATTTTTCGCTTAGGGTTCTTTTAACCCATAATCAGAATATAGAAAGTCAGATAGCTATTTGTGGTTTTTTAAGAGTATTCTCTTAAAGTGTTCTTCTTCGGTTCTGCAGTCTACACTACTCAACAAGCAAATGAAAAAATGATGCCGTCATGCGCGCAACTCTATTCTTACTAATGATATCATTACATCACATTTTTAAACAGCTTCGTTCCTAACAATCTCAAAGCCATTTTCGCCCCATCCAAAGCAGCATAGGCAAGCAGGATTATGAATGCCCAGAGGCGAAAAGAGCCAAACTAAAGAAATGTTCATTGCAAAGAAGAGAAAAGGAAGGGAAGGAATGACCATACGTGGGAAGGAAATTCGCCGCAACAGCCACAGCTCTCCATAGTCCCATAAAAACTTCTGAATTCTGACCGCCAAAAAGAATCTTGCCGATCGCTTCTTCATATAAAGTCTTGGGCAAATATTGCTGAAGCTGCTGCAGCTCAATGCAAGCTTAGAGATTGAAGAGTAGGAAAGAAAGCGCTTGAGAGATCAAAATACTTCGACTTGAACTTTTAGTGCATAACAATGAAAGTTGTGTCATCAGGTCTCAATGATTGAGATATTCATACGTGTCCCTCTTAAAAATCTGACAAAACTACTCGTGCCCATACAATATTGGGCTTGTTTGTAACCCCGTTTCGAACAGATTTTTAAATAAGGCCCTGTTTGGATTGGATGACAAAGCAAACTATGGTTTGGAAGCTTAAACCATGGTTTGCACATAAAATCATCCAAACAGGCAGGCATTTTGGTGAAATCGTGGTCCAGGTTGAAACCATGGTTTCCACCGGTGAAACCATGATTTCATCAGAAGCAAGAATTTGTCGCTTCTGGCTGTAATAATTGAAGGCAACGGCATTGACCCAAAAATACCCTCTGTAGCGCTGGTGACACTTTGGACTGGGGTTCTCTCTTCGCTCTGCTCACGCCTTCACATAGAG